TCAGAACTCAAAGAATTTTAAATTGGTGGGTTAGGCTCGAAAGTTCTTTTTCGTAAGGATTAATAAAATAAAATATTTTATTAAAATGAATTGAACAACATATTTGACATTTTGATCCGCTGTCTCTTGCCATCTTTCATCAGACCAGACATCTTTATCTTTCTTAGCAAAGAAAAAAAAAAAAGAAAGAAAAAACTCATTTTACTGTCATTTGATTTCTCTCAGCAAAATTGAAACATTTTCCCAAAAGATAATTCGGCAAGTACTGATAATGGAAAATTTTCAATTTCTAGTGAATACGGCAGGTGAATGAAAACGTGTCAGTTTTGGGCTGGTGATTAAAGAAACATTAGTTCCGCCATTATCCTGATTGAATATTATATTTCAAATCCTTTGAATGGTTACAAGAATTTAAAAAAAATAAATAAATATATTCTATTATATATATATATATATATATATATATATATATATATAGTCATCCATAGACAGACTGCTTCACAGATCCTCAGTGTGGCTAGACGTCCGATTGCTTCAATGCCGGGATCGAAACCCGACCGATTTGGTATCAGTCACAAATGCTATCCTTAGGCTATCGTCGCAGAGAGGAGGGGAATTTTAACGTTTTCTATGCGCAGATAGGACAGGGGACCGGAGACCTCAATTCAGTTTGGTTGAAGATATATATATATATATATATTTTTTTCTGGTGATGATGGCCATTTTGTCCGAAACTAGTCTAAGAATCTAACTGAGATAATAATAAAAACGAAAGAATATTAATGTACAACACAGACTGTCTGAAGATTTTAATTTTTTTAATTTTTTAATATTTTTTATTGTTCAAAAATATATATATGTATATATTGTCACTAATTGGTAAGGAGTACACTTAATAATAACACCACAGTTTAGTCTGATTACGTCTCTCGATATTTACTCAAGTCCTCCTCAATAGTGGCACAAGGCTTTGCTCGGGCAAAAATTCCCCGTAGTCCTCGCATATACGGGACGGATGGCTGTCAATCTACCCAGACGAGAATCTGCCCGTATGCATAGCGAAGTCTGAATTACTTTCGGTCCGAAGGCAGAGCGCTTGACAGACAGAGTATTGGTAAACTCAGAGTTCTGGGCGAACTCTAAATGAATCTCTAGGTGTAGTTTATATTTAAATCAAGATCGAAAGTATGGGGTATCCAGTGAGGATCGAACTCACTGCTCAGTCGTAATTGTTCTAGATAGACAAGCTTGCTAACCATTACACCACGCTGATGTGCCCATCGGATTATTTATCTCTGTCGGCAGGAGTGATCTGCTTTTTATTCAAGCTTAAAAATATTATGCCCGACACTACATCAGCATCTGAACAATGGCTGAAACGGTGCTTCCGTTTTAGTTAGTTCCTATATTATATATATATATATATATATATATATATATATATATATATATATATATATATATATATATATATATATATATATATGGTGACCCAAAAAAACGGGAATTTTTGAAGTGCGTATTGCCAGACATGACCAAGTGGCAACACTGCGAGATGGTGACCTTGAGCAAGTAAACATTTAGCCATTTAGAATTCAAGATGAAATTCACAGTATCCCAGCTGAGATGTTGCAGCAGTCAATGAGGAATCTCAAGGGCCGATTTCAAGAATGCATTCGTACAGGAGGACGCCATCTACAGGACGTAATTATTAAAAAATGAAAATTCCATCATTGTTTCTTAAATGGCATGTTTTAAGGTTTCAATTACTATGAATAAAATATTTTTCTTCCATTACTCTTGGTTTTATTGGATTGTTAAAAAGTTCCCATTTTTTGGGTCAGCCTATATATATACAGGGTGTTTCAAAAAGAATACACCAAAATCATCACGTGATGTGTCAAAAACGAAAAAAATTACAAACCTCTAGCATGAACACATGTATTGTATATACATTCAAGTTTCATTTCATGTTTTATAGGTGCTCAATGTGGCCACCACCGGCAGCGCGGACAACATAAAGCCGATATGAGAATTCCTCCCAAACGCGCTTCAGCATGTCACGGTCCACCGTGTTGATTGCAGCTGTTATTCAATCTTTCAAGTCATCGATACTTGCTGGAAGTGCTGGAACATAAACTTGGTCTTTAACATATCCCCACAAGAAAAAGTCACACACAGTGAGGTCCGGAGATCTGGCAGGCCAAGCACAGAGAGCAAGATCTTTAGCACCTCTCCTCCTAATCCATCGCTGAGGCACGTTTTCATTCAGATAAGCTCTAACCCCGAGATGCCAATGGGGTAATGCTCCATCTTGCTGAAAAATGAAGTCATTCGAATCTGCTTGCAGTAAAGTGAATAGCCAGTTTTGGAGCATGTCGAGATAGGATTGTCTTCCCACAATTCAGCTGCACCGGAAGTTATACTAACGACAGCAGTGAAACTGACACCCAATCAAACTTTGATAACTACTCTATCAAATAACCACTGATTCAGTCCACTACAATGCTATAGACCTGAAAAAACAGTGTAATGGTTTTGGCGTATTCCTTTTTGAAACACCCTGTATATTGAACATATTAGGACATTTAGTTAGTTGCATCGTCCGTGTGTTAAATATTGCTACAACCACTTACTCTGGTACCTATGGTATAGTGATTCTCTTGGTGCAGCTTAGGTGTGGCACAAGGCGGAAAGTATGGGACACCCAGTGACGATCATATTCGTTATTTAGTCGTAATTTATTCTAAAGAGATAAGCTTGCTAACCATTACACCACTTCGGGGTGCCGTCTGGTACCTCTGCTATATATCTAGAAATTATTGACAAAATCCAAAGAAGATTTTTTTTTTCTTTGAATCATTTCACCCCTGGTAAGGGAATAAAGGGGTTATTGACAATGAAAGAGTACGAGAAGAAAAAAATCCTTAAAAACATATTGAGTTGAGATAACGAAAAAGAACATAATTAAGAAGGCACAACTATTGAAGATCAAAGTTGGCTGAGCAGGAAGAAACCGAAAAAAGATTTTGCACAGGCGAGAAGTGCAAAAGAAGAAACCGCTAACATAGAACATGCGGTTACATACAGCCATTTCAACTAAAATAATGACAACTTCCCGCCAATCTAGTACTACGCTTAAATTCATAAACTTTTGATACCACATAGGAAAGTTTATCAGAATAGTTACCTTTAAAGTATTTATAGAAAGGGCGTCGGGAAATTGACTCAAATTGGGGATTTAGCAAGATTGTCTCGCTAGATCAGTTACGACTGAATAGTGAGTTTGATCCTTACTTTGTGCACTATACTTTCGAACTTTTGCACCATTTAAGCTAGGCTTGGAGAATCACCACCATGTGATTTTTTTTTTTTTACATTTTAGTTGTTTTGGTCGTTTTTTGAGAGCTGATCTTTGTCATCCTCAACGAGGCCTACTCTCCGTGTATCAGCCAACCACTTTTGACCATTTACAAAACCTACTACAAAAACAGCCAAAATCTAAAAATATAATGTGTCGAAAGAATTTTTTTAAATCCACAATATTAAAAACAATAGATAAACGCCAATTTGTAACATAGTTTAACACTGGTAAATGAAGAAAAAAAAAGGGTTGTTAAAATATTACTTGGAACAGGACGAAAAGAGTTAAGGATTAGAACGACAGATAAACTAAGAGAAGAAATGAAATTGCCTTTATTTTTTAAAATCTATTTCTTAAGTAGAGGCGGATTGAAGAAAATGACTTTATTTGTTGGGGAAAGATATTACCAAAGAGGCCATCTGGAAATAGTTGGGCTGACAAGTGATTGATAGCTCTGCCTTAAAGTGAAACTTGCGAAAACATTTCCTAAGCACCAACCGGAAAAGAAGGCCGATTTAGGCGATAATTTTTTTAAATTTTAAAGCGATGGCAAATATAGAAAAACCGATTGAGGATCCTTGTCAAAAATCAAAAGACTGTAAAAACAACCCCAGAGGAAGAATTTAATACTTCATGATATTGGATCTTACCCATAATAATAAAAAATGGACTATTCCATACATAATAAATACTGCGCCTCAGGAGTAGGCAAGGGTCAGTCGTTCAAGTCTGAACCGACTGTTCGGTTAAACTCTCTTCCTATGGGCGGGAGGAACCCGAAGGAGGCTACGCCGAAGGGCGGAGTCTCCTTCAGGGAGGTTAAACCGGCCCTGGACCCGTTCATACGGGTTCAAATGGGCTATTTTTTGCCGAGCCTAATGGCTCGGAATGCCCACGTTAAAAAGGCCTTGTGCCACATGACACCCTCGTGGTGGGGTGACTGAATATCGTCAGTCGTTCAAGTCTGAATCGACTGTTCGGTTAAACTCTCTTCCTATGGGCGGAGGAACCCGAAGGAGGCTACGCCGAAGGGCAGGTAAAACCCCTGAACCCGTTTATACGGGTTCAAACGGGCTATTTTTGGCCTAATGGCTCGGGTTAAAAAGGCCTTGTGCTACATGACACCCCTCGTGGGGGGGGGACTGAATAACGTCAGTAGTTCAAGTCAAGTCAACAGTCGAGTGAGAGGCAGTCCGAAACAGAGTCGCGTTCAGACAATTACTACAAGACATTGGAATAGGGATACTGGTCGAGACTGCATTGTTCTCTCTACTAAACCTGATTGTTCATACTAACACTTTCTACTTCTCTCTATATTCCTGTGTTATTCCATATCCGTGTTCGAGTTCTTCTTTATTGGTTCTACCTTGGACTATCCCCGTGGTACAAGGAACTGGACCATAACACTTCACCTAAGAAAAATTAAGATATAAGGATTACGGTAAACGGTAAATTATGATTATAAAAACAAGACACCAATTTGGGGAAAAAAATCGTTCTGAGGACAATTAAACTAAAAAATACGATTAATGACCAACAGGTTCGCACATGGAATTTGAAAATCGGATTTATAAAAATGACAACTAAGGTAAAAAGCTTTGATAAGATAGCAACAGAGACGGGTGATTGCCTTCACCCATTAGCAGGTAATGGTACGAGGCACAAATAAAAGAAAGAAGGAATTTTCGGGGGAGGGGGCAGTGGTTACAGGCACTGCCCATGGAAAAGCGGTCTCCTAGATTTGGAACGATAATTAATGTTTCAAAAGCAGACCAGAAAGAATTCTTGTTGGAAGACAGGGGAAACCCTGAGTCCCCAATCAGGTCAATGTCTATACCAGTCTTATGCAGAGCACTGGGGCGACCAAACCAGTTGCAGCCAGTTGGAGAAGCCTACGACGAGAGACGTACACTCTGCCGAAAGCCACGTGACTTGCTGCCAAAGAGAACTCCGACTTAAGTCTTGTACGAGACTTAACTAAAGTGGGCAAAGTGTCACAATAGAATTCAAAGTTGGAAGAGTTATTATTTCTCTACAAAGAACGATATAAACCACATAGAAAATTGACCCAAAGAATTTACTCTTCTTTTATTTCGTCTGCAAAGAAAATTGTTTTTTTTTCTTGTAACATAGCTTCGTCGCGGTTCGTACCACCGTTACAATTGCTGGTGACAACTTAGTCTTTGCCGGCTCCAATATAAAAATAGCACAACATGGCAGAGCCGAGCACAGACTGGGATGGCCACTTCAACGATCAGCGACAGTATTGAGCAGCGTAGAAATTTATCAAGGACCGATGGCCACAGTTGTCATATTTAAACAATTGCTTTTAAAAAAACGAACGCTGATATAACAACTGATACGATGTAAGTAAAAGCGATCCTTTTTTAATTAAATTAATTAAACTAAACAATCGAACTAATAAGGATTCCAGCTTAACCAATCTAATATGTGCCAGAAGTTAACTTAGTTATAACTGTTCAAGATTATTGTAATTTTAGTCTATCATTACTATGTAAGCTGAACTACCAAGTTTTCTTATTCCACCTTCAAGGAGGCGGCTGTAATAAATCTATGGATGCACCCTACTAAACTCTGGTTGTCACAGCTGACTAGATGGCAGAATGCCGCCGAGACGGGAAAACAATTTGAAACCTCGATAAGCAATACTGTTAAACCGGGGTAAAACGCTACAGAAACATATGGACTTCTTATGGATTAACTTGTATGAGGCGAGCATCTGTTTTTTGCTAACACAAGAGATTCAATCACAACGTAGAGTCGGTGAGAAGTGTGTGAGTAAAAGAGACCTCAGAAAATCAGAGCTTGTTGGGAAAAATCGTAATTTTCTAGATAAAGGTTTTATGACAATAAAAAAAACAATACGCATACAGTTGGGAGTTGGTGAAGTAACAGGACACAAAAATTATTCATGAAGATCTGAACATGCGCAAAATATGGGCACAGTTTATTCCCCGGGTGTTTCAAGGATAAATAATAGGAAATATCCGTTAGTGACAGCAGCCAGATGGTTGATCGGAATAAATTCTGTCCTCAAACCTCCATAATGTTCCTTGCTGTGAGGTTTGGTTTTTACCTGAGGTGAATGAGAAGCTCGGGTTCAATTGCTTTGAAGATAATTAGAAGCTGAGAGCGGCAGTTACAAAGATTCTGGACATATTCAATTTGAATTACTTCCATGGAGACTTCACAAAGAGGTTGCGGCACTACAACAAGAGCCCTGAAATCGGTGTATCCTACTTTAAGGAAGATTACAGTTTCATAATTCTTTTGAATTAATAAATACCTCTCCCCAGAAAGTATGGAAGCTTCTGAAATGCACATCGTATATATTTGAATCTGAATGTAGCTAACAGCTTTGATACAAGGATTATCACCAACAATTATAACACCAAAGTTTTTCGTCTTACAATACGCATCTTTCATAAAAAGACCAGCCTGCATAGCTACTACAACGATGTTCTCTGATAGCTTTCATTTCGAAAACTGCGTTCAGTATCAATCAACTTCAAAAGAAGTGGTTATAATGACCAAAATAGTTATTACTATCGACAACAAAGCCAACCAACATAATTAGTCTTTCTTTAACGTCCATCTAAAGGCGAAATCGCTCTGCCTAGCCTTTGTTCAAATGCTCACAATTGCATAAATGACTCAGCATTTTCCCTTGTCGGATTTGAACATTTCTTTATTGCTTGATAAAGTTCGTATTGATGTTGAATGAAAGCTATCTTTGATATGCGTCATCTTCTTGAAAAAAAAACAAAACAAAACAAAACAATAAAAAACCGTAATTGACTATATAGGCTTAATGACTTATTAGGTTGAAGCGCCGAGTACGATCATCTTAAGTTAAGCAATGACAATCCTGGTCAGTATCTAGAGAATGACCGCTTTGGAATACAGGTGCAGCAAGCTTGAATGTGCGTGTGATATAATGGGTAACGGCTAGGAATGAGAAATTGGAGGTCCGATTTCGAATACCACTCGGGTACGTTATATTCACTTACGCGCACCTACCCTTGGGGAAGGTATGAACCCGTCTCTTCTAACCCCCACAAGCCCTGCTATTGCTTAATTTTAGAAATTGTATAAGTAAATCATGATAATCTCCAAAATGTTGTTACAATCTAAAACATCTTCTGGCTTTAATTAAAGAGGTGTGATTGATGAAAGAATAAAGAGAAAGGCGGGAATTAGATCAAGGCATCAGCTGTCGAATGACATTACGTAGGTTGATAAAGCGTAAACAAAAATCGACCATTTAATAATTAGTGATTATTTCTATGAAATGTCTGATTTGATTGGTTCGTTTTTTACGGCTTCTCAACCCTTTACAGGTTATTTAAAGCCAGAAAATATTTTTAGATTATAAGAATGTTTTAGCTGGGGTGGAGGAAAAGATGTATATATCTTCTGAATATAATTTCAGCTGGAATTTAAACTCGGTAATAATAGTTCTGAGGCATTATCCATTGCACCATCCGACCATCCAAGCTTGCATCACCTGGTATATCCAAGCAGTCTCCCCTCTTGGTGCTAACCAGACTCACTTTTGATTACCTTCGGTGAAACTGGTGTTTAAACGTGAAGTGGCTGTAAGCCCCTCTTTCTATGAGAGTCAGCGATGATCAGTATTTCTCGCCCCAACCGTAACAGGATTCCTAACCCTAATTTCTGATGCTTGCTTATTTATTAGGTTGATGCAAAAATAGTGACGTAATAATGTCGTTTTTTGACGTATTTTTTAAGGTCAAAAAACGACATTATTACGTCATTATTTTTGCACCAACCTAATAATAGAAAAGAAGATACTACTTCAGTTTTAAATCAACTATTCGCCCTTGCATGGGATACTGCTGCCATATATGGTCTGGAGCCACGATGTTCGTCTCAAGGTCCTCGACAAAATCCAGAGACAATCCTGTTGGTCCTGCTCTGGCATCTCGTCTACAATGACTTCCTCACAGACCTGCCGTCGCTTCTCTCTGTCTTTTCTACATATACTTTCAGGGTAACTGCTCCGACGAGCTATGTTTGCTGGATCTTAAGCTGCATGTATTTAAGCGTGTTACTAAGTTGGCATCTCAGTCCCACCCTTTCACTGTCGAAACGTCTCTTCTACTCTAATAGCTTCATGTCTCGCTCTTCCCGACAGTGGAACTCCTTTCCTCTTACTTGCTTCCCTGACAGTTATAGTCTTCAAATATTCAAATGTAATGTCAATCGACAGCTGATGCCTTGATCTAATTATCCTTCCTTCTCTTTATTCTTTCATCAATCACGTCTATTTACTCTTGCTTCCATTCTCTGTAACACTTTGCGTGCTAGTAGCACCTCCTTTTTTGCTTGGGGTGAAATTCTTAAAATAAATAATCTGGCTGGATTTAAAAGTGACCTTAATCCTTAGGGAGACAATATTATTAATTTGCCTCTATATAATACAGATCATCAAATGGACATTATTTACATTATTCGGACTATTGTCCTCATCTTTGCCGCCATATTTATCACAACGTTTCGGCCGTTGTACGCTCCGGCCTTCTTCAGGTAGTTGGAATGTCGAACTGAACTCTTTATTTCGCTCACTGTGGTAGACTGTTCTAGTTCCACGTGCCATGTTTAATGGATGTCAGTTATCAGTTATCTCCTGTTAATTTCCCTCTGAAAGTTCTCCACTGCCTTAACCAGGTATTGAACTCACACTCTTTGGGTCCTGTCACTGGATTTAACCAACGGCTTTATCCTGACACATGACACAGTGGATAAAGGCGTTGGTTAGAGCCAGTGACAGGACCCAAAGGGTGAGAGTTCAATACCCGGTTAAGGCAGTGGAGAACTTTCTGAGGGAAAATTAACAGGAGATAACCGACATGCATTAAACATGGCACGTGGAACTAGAACAGTCTACCCCAGTAAGCGAAATAAAGGGTTCAGTTCGACATTCCAACCACCTGAAGAAGGCCGGAGCGTACAACGGCCGAAACGTTGTGATAAATATGGCGACAAAGAAGAGGACAATAGTCCGAATAATGTAAATAATGTACATAATACCTCATCTCAGAAATATAGACAGAATCATCAAATGTGTATAAAATTTAGTTATCGAAAATAACGCGTGGTATGTGACCATAAATTTGGGCCTCAGATTCACGGAATGAAATGTTAATCTTTATTCTTTCAGCTCTCGCATTCGTCGAGCTAAGTTAAGCCGCCGCTCACAATCTATTTGCCTTATTTCCCTTGCCAACTGGATTTTGCATGTTACATATATTAATCACTCCTCATCAATGCGGTATAATGATGTTCGTATTAAGTGCGTCTTTGAATGGACATTCTTTGTCCTTGTTCATCTTTGCCGCTCAATATTTTCATCTGTGTGATCTGCGCATGGCAAGTCATATAGATAACCTGTTTGCTGAAAAAGCGGCAAAGATTCAGATGGTGGATTACTCAATTTTGAATTCACGTTGGTATGCCCCCGGCATCAACATAACTGAATATCGGTTTTCAAAATAAAAACGTTCAATTTTCGTTTCGTCATTTTGTGAACATATCCATAATAAAATTCCAATCCCCCAATTATCTTCAGCTGAAAAATAAGAGAACAATATCAATTTCTTTGAATACGGATTACATATCAAAAAAAAAAAAAAAAATTACCCTTTCGGACAGTCTCAATATGATTTGGGTCTTCAGC